TGTTACAAAAAGTTAACATCGACGCAATAACATCAATGTATTATGTAGCAAAATAAACAACTGATTACAATTTAAATGACGTTTTAGGCTTTTATTTTTATTTCACCAATTTGGTAAATTATATGATTTATTAAAAAAGTCTATTATACTTTAAAAAATTGATGAGTTCTAATCGATTTGGGTAATTGAATAATAATCAATCACTCAAAATCAATATTGATTTAAAATGTCATATCTCTAGTTGTGTACTTTGACGTCACGACGAGCGCGTCAAAAATTCCGGTGTTTAAACTGCTCGTAGCTATTATTTATTTTCATCGATTATTAAATCTTACAAAATGTTAGTATTTCGATGCCCGGTATTTTTTTCAGTTATATATTGATGTAAATTATCATATAAAACGTTTTCCAAAAATGTGCATATTCCCTATTCTATACTGCCCATGGAACCAAGTATGCTCCCAATAATACAGAAGATAATACAAAATCACCGCCAACTTTTTTTTCGTAGTCCATTTTGACCATTGTTCTTTGGGGCTTTTAATTAAAAACCGCGACAAATGGTTTTGGCAGTCTTCGCGTGATGTTAACCTGACACTGCCTAAAGACTTCTGAAGAAAATCCGAAAGTGCAAAGCCAGTCCTGTACTGCGGATGCATCAACACCTCCCAGCCAAACTCTCTTTTTGCCGAGTGGCAAAATATGTGTGAGGTCTAGCGTTATCATGACGAAAAACCCCTTCTATTGATTCCTTCGCCTCAACTCACTGATTTAATATCATCAGCTGTCACAGTAGAGTTCAGAATCAATGGTCCTGCCCAGCGATAACAGTTCATAATGAATGATGCTCTTACAATCCCACCATACACACATCACCTTGTTGCGAGTTATCTCGGGTTTCGCCACAGTCTGTGAAGCCTGACCGACCTTGGACTACGACCTTTTTCACACGTTCTTATCGTACGTGATCCACTTTTCACCACCAGTTATCAGCTTCTTCAAAAATAATTCGATTTCATTACGCCGTAATAAAGAATCACAAATGAGTACACGGTTCATTAGTTTTCTTTCAGTGAGCTTTTAAGTTACCCAAATACCCAACTTTTTGTATACCCGACTTTTTTCAAATGCGCCAAAACTGATATTATATATAATACTATAAAAAATCCGAAGTTAAAATCAAGGGATACCTACATTTTTACAAGCAATTGATTTTTCATTTAATCCACTGTCGTGCTATTTTGTGATTAATCTTTATTAGAGATAAACATTCCGAAGGCATAAATTAGTATGGTAATGTCTACAAGCTGGGTTTCTCAAGTGAGGTACGCGAATACCTAGGGGTTCCTCATTCGACGGGATGGGGTTCACGACAAGATCAATCAAAGATGAACTGACGAAGGTTAAAATAAATAATTAATAAAAAAAGACGACTGCCAATTTGGACCGTTCTGTGAAAATTTGTAATCAAACAGTTGTTCTGCAGTTCTACAGTACCTTACTGCCTTAATATACCTATCTATATCATCATCATCATCATCATCATCATATCAACCGAGAGACGCCCACTGCTGGGCATAGGCCTCCCCCAATGATCTCCACCGTGATCGGTCCTGCGCCTCCCGCATCCAGCGGCTTCCTATCTATATAAATAGGTAAAATTTCAAACTTTGTTTTTTTGTAGGCGACTAGCTGGCGCCAGAGTATATTAGTGTACCCGATCAAGAGTACGAAATGGCACAATTGCAATGTCGATTGAACGCCAATCGTTCAAGAATGAGCATACTGATCGCGAAAATTCTTTCACCTACGAAAGCTACATCATACGTACATAATTCTTTCACCTACGAAAGCTCAGTGACTATAATTCAAGCAGGCGAAGTCGCGGAAACAGCTAGTTTATTGATTAAAAAAACAACGTGCAGCAAAACACCCTTGCGCATCTAAAATTTTGTAAGAAATTCCCTTTAATACCTACTCTTCTCAAAGAATTAATCACTCATGGGTCATTAATCAATTAAGTATTATTCAATTTAGAAACGAGCACCTATTATGTTTTTGTAGTAAAAAAAAACGCAAGCATCATCTTATTGAACAAACCCCTCGTAATATAATCAGTGCACCCCTGCTAACTACCCATTTAATAAAAAAAAATTTGTATGATAGAATTACAAGATCATGATTTTCATCCATTTTCTATTTTTAAGAACGCGCCAAACATCCCATTGTATTTTATTACCCTCCTTGTTACCTACTGATAGTACCTTTGTACTTTACAGAATAACTTTTTTTTTACGTCGAGGAAATGCATTAGGCACTGCCCCTGCCGCCCGGCAAGCAACAGGGGGTGTGTGGGACTCTCCTACGCGAGCCCACCCTGTGGCTAGCCGCGCGGTGGGCTCCCGAAGGCCTACACACAAAAACTCCTACGGTGTACCCTCCCCTGGGGATGAGACGCGGGATGCCGTGACCGAGTCGCCGGGACGCTCACCCCCCACTCTACAGAATACCCATTTAAATAGAAAATAAATAAAAATTAGACATCAAGTACATTGTTCGGATTCCGAGATGAGTAGCTAAAGCCTCCGTATTATTGAGTATCTGAGATAACGAACACTAGACCCGAGACAATGTAGAAATTTTCATTTTGTACATTAGACCGTTCGGAAATAGTAATAGAGACTTTGGAGATAGCGACACCTTGAAATCGGCGTGGGAACGAACGCTCGATGCGCACCGCAACCCCATCTACAGATGTGAGCCCTCATTAATCCGCATCCGGATCAAAAAAATGAGCATCCGCTGCATCACTAGTATGTACAGATTTTGATAATACAAATAACTATTTACTCCTATGTGAATCCAAAAACAAATATGTTGATAATTTATTTGGTAAAAAATTTATTAGGTACTTGACATTATGGTACCAATTTAATTATAGTTTTGACATAAATATTGTTACATAGAAAATCTTTTTTTTTTTTATTGAACGTAACATTTATTACTATTACAGTTCGTTACTTCAAATATATCTATAGTATATTTGATAATATATAGCTTATTCCAAGTGGTCTCCATTGACTGCAATACAGTTATTTAAAAGTTGAGGCCAGTTATAAATAGACGTACGCACTCTTTCCATGGGAAAATTCTTAACTGCCAATCGTATGAATTTAGAAGCTCCAAATTATTATGGCATTTAGAGCAAACCCTGCACTCTTAAAACTGTTCAATAATCATAATCCAGCGGACTAAGATCTGGACTAGATGACGGGCAATATTGAGCTCTGATGAAGTCCGGAACGTTCGTTTCTAAGATTGCGTGGATAGAGCTTTACGACTTGGCGCCGACTCTTGCTGAAAGGACTAATCTTGGTTATTGAACACGGTGTTGTTGTTAAGGGGCTTAGTTACCTTCTCGAAAATGGTATCTTGATACGCTTGTGCCGATGTTTTGATGCCCTTTTTCTCAAAAATGTATCTCGGTCACTCTTTCATAACTAACACCCCACCGAACCATCACTGAAGTCGGATAATGCTCACGTAGTCTGTTGACTAATCGAGAAGCTTTGTTTGTTAAAATATTGCTCGATTGTAAAAATTTTCTGATCCGTAAACAAATTTTTCTGTGACCTCGCTTTGCGTACCGCTTAAGTAGTGGTTTTGATTTTACTAACCCATTCTTTTTAAAATATCTGTTACGAAGTGACCAGTGCGACTTTTATAGGACATGGATCTATGTGCTATCTTCATCTCCCGAGATAAAATCCTTTGTACAATCTTTCACTTCCAAGTACTATGGATTTCGGGATAAAATATATCATAATAGCTTCTGTCGATCTAATCATCATCAGCTCTTTTACGTCCCCACTGCAGGGGCTCAGGCCTTCCTTATGGATGGTTAAGGAGGATGGGCCATGACCCTCCACGCTGGCCCAATGCGGATTGGAGGGTATTAACGACTGCAAATGCAGCCGGGACCAACGGCTTAACGTGCCTTCCGAAGCACGGAGTAGCTCGAGATAATAATTTTTAGGTCACCCATCCCGTGACCGACCCTTGCGAAAGTTGCTTAACGACTACGATCGCGGGCCGCCGCGCTTATCCACTACGCCAACGAGCTACACTAGCTAGAGCTATAATAGCTTCTGTCGATCTAATAATAATAACAATTTATTTGTGTTTGATACCCTATTCGACCAACAAATGAAAAAGAGATGTAAAAATGTAATACAATTATCGCCTATTCAGCCATTAACAAAAAATGCAAATGTAGTAAAAGAAGTTACTATAAGCACTGATCAATCCACCCTGAGCTAACGTTCAGTTTCCATAGTCTAAGAATTCATGCACAGAATAAAAGGAACGCTCAGCAAGCCAGATATATAACTCTGTCTTAAATCTAGTAAGAGGTGTATTCTTTATAGATTCTGCAATCTTATTAAATATTGTTTGACACATACAGTAGCAGTTATTTTTAAATCGCGCGCTTTTTGGTACTATGTCGAGAACTAGCCTATTTTAATTTCTAGTGTTTCTGGGATATACTTCATGAACTATTTTATAATAATCAGGGCATCGTTTGGCTAATTTCGCTGCTTCAAGTATAAGGACCACGACGAGAAATTCTAATTCTTCTTATCTATAAATTTTCATCACTAAAACTTCAATACCAAAAACCTTTTATACAAACATTTTCAATTTTTTCTCTCTTCAGAGTAGAATATCCATAAATTTACAAACAGAGAATTTCTACCAAATAAAACTAAGTAAACCAGACTATTTTCTACCATACACAATGTTGCTTAATAAAAAAATGGATAAAATCACTTTTATTTAAAAAAATGTGCATAATATTACATTACTTATATTTATTAAATGTTTCACAAAAACATTACCTCCATCCAATTACAAAATATATGAAATTATTAAAATTTAGTTGACTTTAGGCACAATTTTTAATAGAAATGATTAAGCCAATTTTTTATTGTCGCCCTTTAGTATAAAAGCAGCATCATCTGTTCCCTAAAATTCATTGCAAGGTCTTTCAGGAAAGTTTAAAAAGTGTTTAAGAATAAAATTAAAAATTTATTAATATTTGCTACTGTACACTAACTATAATGCATTTATGACTAATTATCCCACTTCTTGGTCACATCTATATATTCGCCGTCTGGTGATAAGTAGTCCTTGATGGGTGGAGTCACAACTGGTCCATCTATTGTGTAGGGTATCAGTGACAAATCTGGCTGCAATGTAATAGAAACATCATGTGAGTTATTAATTTTTTGACAACTACTAGAGAATACATAGTTATAAGAATCCATTATGAGAACATAATACAGTGAAAACAAAGACAAAATAATGCAAACTAGTGCATGAAACTAATTAATAAATTCAAGACTCACTCTGATGAATATGATGCTATTGTTTTAGTCTGTATTATTTAGAAGTGGTAGAATATTAAAAGATTACAGCTCATTGAAAATAGACATTCTAAACATAAAAGAGTAAGATCTCTGACCACCAGACAGTATTATTATAAGATGCACAAAATATATAGCATAGAGTTAGTATGCCGCAAACAGATCACAATAAAATTCAGATTTGATCAGATTTAAGGGATAAAAAATCCTAGGGAATGTAAAAATCACAAATAGATTTTATGATTTCCCCTATTAGACAAAGTGAAAGAAACCCCTTGTAAGAAATTTAGGGATGTATTTGTAGGTCCACAAGATTGAAAAGATAAGTCTCCCGTTTGGGTCATGTTCTTTGAAATCAGATATATGAACTTTTCCAACTTATAATGGGCAAAATTTTTGGGAATAGTAGCATTGGAAGGAGAAAGAATTCATGGCTGCAAAATATCAGAGAATGGATGGTCTTACTCACGGGGACTAGGAACTGTTGTAAAAAACTGATGGACAATCTTCACTAGCTGGAGAGGCACTTTAAGAAGAACAAGTTCGAATAATGCTAGGAAAAAATTCATTTCAAATTGGTACTTCAATCAACTTCATAAAAAAAATTACTTCTTAGAAATTCCCTAAACTTTAAACATAGAATTTATTATGTACTTGCCACAAGAAGCAATATAATAATAATAATAATATAATAATAATAATAAGTGCTTTGTTTTAAACACAAAAGCAGGGAAATTTCGAAAATCACATTAAACAAGCAATATGTTTGTTCATTATAATTAAAACGTTTTTTATCTATTAAAAGTTTGTTTATTATAAACTTTATCAACAGTTGATGAACAGTTGAATAAGAAATGCCTGTATTTTTTTCCCTGCTTTGAGAATTTCCCTGCTTTCAATATTACCCCAATACATTTAAATGTATTGTTAATAGATTATAAACTTCTGTTATTTTGTGTAGCTAAATTGAATAAAACCCAACATAGATGCTGATAAATAAACACAGAGACAATAAAATTAGGCCATCCACCGCACCGTAAAAATTGTAGCAGATAAATTAATGTTGTAATTGAATGCATTCTTAAGTTAACCAACTTATATATTATGCAATATACAAGAAAAATAAAACCAATGCAATAAAATTAGAAGTGGCCTAATTTGTTTGTCCATCAATATCGATAACACTTACCATAATAGCTTCATCATAGAGTTCCTCAGATTCTTCATAAAGCTTATCAAGTGCTCTCCTCTGAGCTGCCATTATACGATCTATCTGAGCCACATGGCTCATGTACTCCTGTTGCTTATACTTGGCCCAATCTTTCTGAAGTAGTGCACGAGCCTCCACCACCTCAGGAGAAAGTTTTACAGGTGCCCTCTTTCGTTTACTAAAACACAAGCATGCCATCATTGCATTAAAATTATTGGACATAATATAAAACAAAGTTGCTTCCCGCTGTCTTTATGTGAAGATATTTTTTAAGTACACAACAGACTTTAATGCAGTTAACATTAATGTAAAAAAAATCAAGAGGAAGTAAGATAGTCACTGATGGAAAGATAGTGTTCAATATAAAGGTAATCTTAGAGTTTAAGAACTAATAATTAACATAATAACAAATTTAGTGGTGTATTTTTACCTCATCTCATCGAAAAGATGCAAAGGTACTTCCATTTCTTCGATCGGTTTAAGTTGTCTTGCATTTTTTTGCAATCTTCTAATTTGTTTTTCAATTTTCTTACGGCGACGTTCTTCTCGTGCTTTGATTATAGCAGGATCTATTTTCTTCTTTTTTTTCATAGGTTCAGCACTGAAATATAAAATATAGGAATGACATTAAAACTATGGTATCATTTCTTTGAAAATATTATGCAAGGAAAAAGAAACATTATCTTACCATAAAGGTTCTGTAATTTTGAACTGCAGCGCACTACTTGTAAATATATTTCTTGAGTAAATTTGCTTTATTGAAGCTGTACATGTTACTGATAATCTAAAAAAAAGGTAAATATTCAATTAGGTTCAAATTTAGGTTGTGTAGCCTAAAAAATAAAAAGACATTTTAATAATAATATTTCCAGTATACCTTGAGAATTGTTTTATAATAGACAAATTAAACATTTTAGTTCTGAATAATCTTTAATCAACGATTTACTAAAACTTAAAAAAAACACCTCTACTTTATCCACTGACAGACCACAGACCAAGATGACCAGACCCACAATAAGGAAGGATGCAACGATATAACGAAATATCGATAAATATCGAAATATTGACGGCCAAAAATATCGATATTGGATAAAAAACCAGCGTATTAAAACCACACGTGCGATATTATTTTGTAACACTGATTTTTTGGTTTAGAATTTGTAGATGCATGTGCCCTGCCTGACGATAGTGGATGCATGTGCCTCGACTTGGGTATCGGGGGGCGCCAAAACATGATGATATAATAAAGAAAAAAAAGAAATTTATAGACATATCCCTAAATTATGTAAAGAAATATGTGCGTCAGGGGGACACAATGGCGTAAAATCAAGTTGCTACCCCAGTTGGAACAAGTAGATCCGGTCCTGCGTCACGTTTATCGGCTCCAGAGATATCGTATAGGCGCACTGGAGAAAGGTGACATTACACGAAGTAGGAACAGGCATAGTAGCCAGGCAATAGCCGCCACCAATCATAGGCCGATGTTTTAAATACATTTATAATTAAACGCATTCTACTTACATACCTTAGGTTTCTACAAACAAGATTTTTGAATTTATTTAAGACCCATATCTCTGAAAAAGAAGTTTTGACTTTTTTCGAAATGCTAATACGACTCCAAAGAAATGTAATTTTCGATAGTTTCTGACGCAATCATATGTAATTTTATTTAAATCATATGACTTTATATTATTTTACGAGGGCGAGATGATGATAGCCTAGCATAGTGTGTTAAAAGTATACTTATTTTTCGACATAGTCTCCTTGAAGCGCTATGCACTTCATCCATCTATGCTATAAAGCCTTGATGCCATCCCTGAAGTGGTTTTCTTCAAGCCCTTCAAAATAACTGTCCACGGTAGACATCACCTCGCTATTATTTTCAAATCTTTGTCAACCTAAAACATTTTTGAGCTTAGGGAATAGATGAAAGTCAGATGGTGCCAGATCAGGAGAATAATCTGGGTGTGGTAGCAAATCATAATTTAATTCTTTGAATTTCGCCATCGCAGTGATGCACGTTTGAACGCGCTCATTATCCATTTTGCAGAAAAAACAAAAGAATGCTTTTTGAAATGTCAATATTTTAAAGAAAAACTATACGATCGATGAATAAAACCAATAAATAAAATAATAAGGAGATTTTATATCGTTATTATACAAAATATGGGTTGGGCTAGCTATTTATCATCCCGCCTACGTATATTTATTAAATAAAATTACAAAAATTTTTCGAAACTGTCCAAATTTTCGTTCAAAGATAAATAGAATAAAAAAACAAACTCTGGTGTGGTGCTAATTTGTAGATACTTATAAAGCTTATAAACTAAAAACAAGTTTATCTTGTTATATTAATTGTTACATAGGTATAATTTAAAATATTTTATTCATGTGAGTAATGTATTGGTTTCACTACATGTATAAATAGTAAGTTTGTAGAATACAATTCCCGCGTTCATAGGCAGAATTAGTCCAGCAGAAAAACTCCTGAGGCCAACTCCAGTTCCAGAATACGAATAGCAATCTGTGTTATTGATAACTAGTTTAATTTCCACTCTTGAAACTGTTATCAAGTCTGCAACAAATATATTTTTTATAATTATATAACTTAAAGTAATAAAGGTACAGGATATTTTTCTGGTTTTCCTATCTATACAAATATTAAAAGATTTGATAGTTTGTTTGTTTTTATCGAATAGGCCGCGAAAATACTGAACCGATTTTTAAAATGAGAGGTCGCGGGAAAACAGCTATTTAAGGATAATTTCTGAGTAGGTAATTGTCTTATTATATTATACTAGCTATTGTCCCGCGACTTCGCACGCATAAATATAGCCTATGTCAACCGCTTATTATATAGCTACCCTGTAGGTGAAAGAATTTTTAAATTAATCCAGTAGATTCGGAGCCTACTTGATGCAAACAAACAAACTAACAATTAGATTATATAAGTATATTGATAGCTTTTGCTGGTGATTATACGTAAATACGCCCGAAAATTAATTTAATAAAAAATAATAAGTTCAAAAACTAAAACCCGACTACAACTAAATGACGCTCTAAAAAGTTTGAAGCAAGAAATTTCTTTTTTCAAACTATTTAGAGCGTGATTTAGCTGAAATTGGGTTTTAGTTTTTGAACTTATTATTTTTTATTCTAAAAGCAATCATCACTACAGTAACAATAAGGAATATCCCAAAGTCGAATGTTCATCAAGCAATCAGTATATAATTTTCTAAATCTTACCATTATTACTTCTGTAGTTGATGTCCAATATTCTGTTCATTTTTACTCTCGACTTTGGGATATTCCTTTTTGTTACCGTAGTGATAATTGCATTTGGAATAAAAAATAATAAGTTCAAAAACTAAAACCCAACTTCAGCTAAATTACGCTCTAAATAGTTTGAAAAAAAGAAATTTCTTGCTTCAAACTTTTTAGAGCGTTGTTTAGTAACAATAAGGAATATCCCAAAGTCGAATGTTCATCAAGCAATCAGTATATAATTTTCTAAATCTTACCATTATTACTTCTGTAGTTGATGTCCAATATTCTGTTCATTTTTACGCTGGCCCATATCCTATTGTCTTGATGAATAATTCTCTCTGTTAAGATATGTGTTATTTTTTTAAGAACATAACATGGGTAAGTTTATATCGCTCACTGAATAGTACAGTGGCACAACTCAAAAAACATTATTTCGAGATAACGCCCAGTGGCGTAGCTAGGTAACCTAGGGCCCTGGGGCAAATAAAAAAATGGGGCCCATTGCTATCAAAACTGGTAAGGTTTTTTGAAGTAAAATCATTAAATATACAGATGCTTTAAAAATGCTAAGCAACTTAAAATCAGCTCTTTTTCGTGCATGGGCAGGTAATAAAACTATTAAACACTAACAACATAATTTACAATTATTTTAATACTTGGTGTAGGTATTGGGCAATAAAACGAAATAGAAAAGACTCAACAGGCGTTGTTTGCCTTTAAATGCATCACTGGGTTTCTTTCTTTTTTGACCATAATATTACTTTTCTAATTTAATTATGCTAATTATATTTCTAATTTATTAATATTTATGTATGATTGTACTAAAGTAGGTACTCACTGTTCACTGACAACGTTACAAGTAAAAGGAAAGAGAAACGTAATGACACGATACAAGACGTCGTTTGGGTAATCCCCGGCAAACATTTTGTCACCGCCAGTGTTACCACATTTGACGGTTTAAAAAATGTCAAAAAGCATCACGTAATTAATGGACGGCCCCCTACCACATGTGACTTGTATTTTAAGTTATATATTGAGTAGCCGAAATCTATACATTTCTTTACGTAACTATGTATACATACGTACTATAATCAAATAAAATTCAACTTTTGTATGGACAAAAAATTTATTGACATACGCTTACTTACTCCTAATACATTAACTTTTTAACCATTCTCGAAAAAAAATCTTGACTCGAAGTTCACAATCGCGAATCACAAAAACGCATATCGATAAATAATTGTATACAGATATTGATATCCTACAAATTGATGAAGAACATTAATAGCACGTTGACAGAGTCCACACAAATAAATCTAACTGAGGGGCTACATAAAATTTCTTTTTTTTTACCCAGACGTCATCGCTATACAAATTTTTAAATTAAGAACATTCCTTAGAGCTTCATTAAACCTAATATAAACGTTCGTGCAACCGAGTTAATGTACAAAAAAAATTAAGACATACCTTTACAAGCTCCCAGAAAAAATAATATCTTGTAATAAGGAAAGTCTACGGCTATTATATTTCTTCGGAAGTTAATACTGCCTGTATCAGCTATTATAAAAAATAACAAAGATGGCAATAGAAACAATAGAGTGGTCCTCATTATGCTTCTATAGGACCATACGAACTAATATTCAGGTATCAACAGCTCATTGCTATTCCCGCTATTCATTAGTGTACAGAACACATGAAAACAAATTGACATAACTTATTTTATATGGGTACTTTTGAAATACTTCCTTGAAAAAGCAATCTATTTGAAAAAGAAATAGAACCGATTTCAAACTTTAAAAAAAAATTATAAATAATACATACTTTTTTCAAAAGCGACTTATTCAAGAAAATGTTATTGAATTCGGGCGGAAGTTTTCTGTTTCTTTAAATGATAGACGCTTGACTTCAATAACATTTTCTTGAATAAGTCGCTTTTGAGATAAATATTATTTGTCACTTTTTCACAGTTTCAAATCGGTTCTATTTTTATTTAGTTTTTATTTTATTATTCTATGATTTTTAGTGATATTGATTTTACACAATAGATAATACTAAAAATATTAAATACCTATCTATATGTATAAAAAAAATCAATAGTGAATCTTAAAAAAAGGAGATTTGCTTGACTTAATTTTTTCCAATTATTGTTTACTTAAATATTATAAAGAGGCAGAAAGATTTGATTACTTGTTAGCAATGCAAGATAGACTCCAAAACTGTTCGGCCGATTTATAAAAGACTTTTAACTACGGAAAGCTACCTAACACGCAGAGGACATAGGCACATAGGACATAATTTACGCCGACAAGGAATCAGCTAGTTTGATAGAAATTAATTCACAATTCAAGAAGAAATTGATGAACATATGTATCTACTTAAATAAATAATATACATACTCCTTGAACATAGAAAATCCTCCGTCCTTCGACGAAAATACGCAATATTTTGTTTTTTAGCTGAAATAAACATATAAACTAAATATTTAGGTGAGATCTGGTGAAAAGCGTTTTTTGTTTTGTTATAAAAACAAAACTATCGATTCGATTTCAATATTATTTAATTGAGACCACCTTGGTGTATTAAGCTATCAAATAAAAAAATAAATTTTGAAAACCGGTCAACAATTGGGGGAAATATCGGTTAACTTACATAAAAAATATACATCGCCGTCGAACATAACCTCTTCCTTTTTGATTTTGAAGTCAATTAAAAAAGGAAAAACGGACTATAGCAGTACACCTTTAGCATTCATTTTTTTACTTTGTGAACATTAAACATTTTGGTTTTCTTTTTATTGACTTTATATTTAGCTATTTGGTTCATAATCATTACAATGACCATGGCAATTAGTCTTGTAATATTCGTATTTCGTTGTTGCTAGCCGTACCTAATCGCGTGTCTTGTTACAGATTTTATGTTCTGTATAAACTACAGTGTATTGTCATGGCGCATGTTTAGGTAACGCAGGTCTGTTTAACCTATCTGTAGAAAAGCTTTATTATTATTTTTTGTTAACAAAAAAATTTGGAAATGGAATTAGTCTTAAATAAATTGTCCACAATAATTCGATCTAATGCATCGTTTTCAATAGCCTCACGTCGCACTAGTGCTGATATACAGTGTGCTATTAATAGGTTGCAGTTCTTTCATAACGCTATTTGAATAAACATGTTTATATTAATACTTTTAAGGAACTAGTAATTGAAACTTTTTAAGGCAGAAAACTCATAAAGAATTCTTGTCAAAAACAACGGTCAGCATAGATGAGCACTGTATTTTACCATCCTTCCAGTGTATTACGTATTATAATAACAACAATAAATTTGATGCAGTAAATGAAGAAAAAAATCAAACGCGCGTTAATAAACTACATTAGACCATGACTGTGTGGCAGGTAGATATTAACGCCCGAAAATAACCTTGCCCTAGACTACTGGCCAGCTATTTTATATGCTCTCCAATGACATCATACTATCGACAATCACCCTCAGGTATTTTACAAAGGATGCTAAGAAAATCGCTTCTCAATTATATACCAGAAAAATACTATATCTAGTTTATAATATCGCTTCGTTAGTTCCCAGTCCAAGAAATGGAAATAAATTAATAGGTAAACAATTAATAATAACTTGAGTGTATATATAGAAAACTTGTATTTAGTAAAGTTTGACGTCGTTTAAAGGGGGGGTTTGACACAAACATTATCGTGTCTGGCAATGGACGACGTGCTTGACGATTATGTGTGTAGATCTTATTGACGCCTTTACAACCATACCGTTACCAGCCAAAGCCTCGATCGCGATGATCCAAGCTCATAGTCGTCAATCGTTTCTCCCTGTTTGGCGTAATGCAAATTTGATCATTCATATTTTCGCAAATATTAACGATCGCGGGCTCTCGCTCTTATACTGTTTGACAAAATATGCCTTTGTATATATTGTCTGAAATAGATTTTGATTGATGTTTTAAATCCCTTGTGCCACCAAGCGTAAATCAAAGGATTCAGTAAACTGTTGACAAAAGCAAAAATGCCAATAGGACCATTTAATAACGATGCTAAATATGCCTTTCTATGTTTATCTTCACTAAATATAGAAAGTAACAAAACTACATAGAACGGAGTCCAAGTAACGATGAAACTCCCCGAAGTCAGTAAGACTACAGTCACTGCTCGCCATTTCTTAGGTCCATTCATTTTACAAATTTTCTTTTCAGCGTTTCGTTCAGCTTTTCCTGATATCGATTCCACAGTCCAAATACTAGAATTAGAAGCGAGTTCACTTTTTCCTTGTGTATGTAATTTATCAACGTAGACTTCGAATCCATTTAATGTAGCCTTAGGATCATCTACACTTTTGGATCTTAATTTTACTATCTTTTCTTGAGGACTAACTATTTGGCTATCACAAAAATGAAATGATGCACTTCTTTTAATTTTACTGCCGCTTTGTTGATTCAATGGTTTGCTTAATGGTTTTCTAGAAGTACCGCGATGTATTCTTAGTTTAGGTTTTTGTTTCGTCTCTATATTTCCGTGATTTCGGGAAGCAGTAGAAGCTTTAATATTTCTTAGGTTCCTTAAAACTTCCAGCAAAATTATGGAATTCAATAAAGTTACGATTGCTATAAGAATAATACTAAGAAACGCATTGAATATTATAAAAGACTTGGGAAAAACTGTAACATATCTACAATATAAAGAAAAAGGATCACTGTTACTCCATCCAGTAATGGGCATAAATCCCATGGCTATACCTGAAAATTTTTAAATAGTATACGGACATTATTTGTGCTATGTCATTAGACATTAATAAAAATATTACTGATAGTATATATTAGTCAAAATTTACCGATAATCCATATGCAGATAATGCCATTTCTTACTTTGGTGGTGTTGAACCATTTCTGGTAGTACAGTCCGTGTAAAATATAAATGTATCTATCTATTGCAAGCAGACAAACACTGAATATGGACACCTTCGCAAAGCAGCTAACCATACCTGTTATAAGAAATTGAAAAACAAATAAATACCACAGAAACATAAATTGCAATTTTCAAATTCAGTTTTACTTACCCAGCCTGAATATACATAGTTGATCAGATCGCACTGAAGTACCTAGTATTCCAAATAATGTCAAGAATATTCCCATCATAGTATCAGCCAGGGAGACATTACCTAGCAGCAGGATGGTACTTTTCGGTTGTTGCCCTGTAATGAAGCAGTTATTTTACAATATTTTCTTGTACCTCAACACAGTTTTGAAATGAGTATATTCAAAAAAACAATGTTTTATTTTATATATTTTTTGTCTTATAGAAAAATTCTTAAAAATAAGAACACAATGGTGCCAATTTTGCTGTACTCTCTCTCTTAAATATATAAACTGAGGACCTCCTTTTTTGCAGTCTGTTAATAATGTTAACGTAGTCACTTGTACGAGTATTATATCGTAAAAGGAATATATAAACATCCTCTGTATATTAACGATATACTCGTTTATGTTTACTTTTTTTTACCTTAGTTATACAATTTACACGCAATTTGAGAGCAGTCGCGGATTTACGAAATGCTATGAATTGGTAGAAATTATTTTGCACAAATTACAGGAAAACCCCATCTTGTGCAACTGTTTAGAACATATTTAATTATATTCTTAATGAAAAATGCTAAAAAAAACCCACTTTGTCCCTGGCAATATGAGATGGGACTCGAATCCATGACCCGTCCAAATTTAATTAGTTCAAATGTAGTGACATTAATATCTCCAATAAATCTAGTATAAGGGACGACGACCTTCTACGACGAGAACTGAAAAAAACACCGATGTTATGCGGCATATGATAGAGGCTGACAAAAGAGTGAGCTATCGCCTAATTTGGACACAATTAAGCATCGATCGGTATGAACCAAGTCCACAAAATCCCTCATAAACATTTAGCAGTTAAGTATCTTTATCATAATTTGACAAAAAGTCCAAATAGTTCGTCGTGTTGATAGGTACCGTGAAATGATTCAAAGATGTAACGGAGTTGACTCAATTGCTGCGTTCAACATACTTATCGGTGATGAAAACTGGATTTCCTGTTATCCACAAAACAAAAGGCAATCTGCTCAGGCGGTGTTTCCAAGAGTTGCCAACTAAAGTAAGGAGAGGTCCAAATGTGAGAAAAAAGATGATGGCCTCGTTCTTTGGAAAGAATAGCATTAGGCGGCAATTGTTTGAGAGGATCAAAAAAACTGTTACTGCAGAGATGCACACTAACAGTCGTTTGCCACTTGCCTTGGAAAAAGTTCAGGAGAAACAATCTGGCGGTAGGATTCTCCTTCTTCAAGACAACGCCTCATTGCACGCCGTCACGCAAAGAACCGACTAATTGTCTACGTCAGACGTGACCTTATTGAGTTACCAGACGTATATCTCCAATCTCGCACTTTACGATTTTTATTTGTTCCCGAAAATAAAAAAGAGAATTCGAAGTAAACTCTTTATTGACTCCAAGGAAGCAGTGGCGTTTCAAAAGGTTGTTTTTAGATTTAAATAGATTACATTACATAGATAGATTAACACTTATTAGCACTATTAGATTCCTTTTTCTTTAAAGATCAGATACCCATATTCTGATCTAATTACAGATGAATTTCTGTAAATTAATAGTACATTACGATATTAGTGCGTTATGATGGTTATAATATGCGAGGCGGAATTTCAGCCCGAGCCGAAGGCGAGGGCGTAATTGAGCCGAGCATGTTATAACCAATACGCACGTAATATATCGTACGACGTTTTTTAACACATTTGCGAGGAAACAGAGAAAAAAACATTAAATAAACTCAATCTGTGAATGAACACTGTTGCTTTCCTGGCATTTTAACAGCGCGCTAGCGCTGCCTAATAACTGGCGCCGCCCGGCGATTAGTTCGAAATTTGAATAGCAACAGCGCGCGAAATGGCAAATAATGCTGTTATGGAATTTGTATGGACTATAACTTAAATATTCGCACACGCGTTTTTTTTAACCCGCTTTACATATTTAAAACCGGTGGAATTACATTAGCTTTACCAACTAATACTTCACACAGCTTTCTAGAGCATGGAAACTATAACGTTTCTTGTCTCCCTATGACTGAAAAAGTAGATCTTTAAGCTTTATGTGAGAATTAAAAATAATTAACAAACGAAGAATTTGACCTTTTTAATGTACAACTTTATTGATACACAGTTAAATACCGGTAGGGCCGTCCATAAATTACGTCACACAAAATGATTTTTAAACACCCCCCCTCCCTTCCTTTCACCTGTTTGTCTATACAAATTCTACTAAATATTGTTCTAATGTCACAGTTCGTCAACCTCCACCCCCTCCTAACGTGTGACGTAATTTATGGATGGCCTCGTAATCCTATTAATATTATAAAGGCGAAAGTTTGTAAGTATGGATGTATGGATGTTTGTTACTCTTTCACGAAAAAACTACTGGACGGATTTGGATAAAACTTTACAGCAATATAGGTTATACATCAGAATAACACATAGGGTACTTTTTACTGGGAAAACTTCTCACTCCCACGGGATACCGACTTCCACGCGGACGAAGTCGCGGGCGTCCACTAGTCAGGTTATAAAACTTAAGACAATCTAAAATATTAATTATCTTAAAGGTCACCTAAAAATTTTATTGTGACAAACATTTTTCACCAAAGGGTTTAGCCGGATACGTATGACGAGTCGGCCCCCAAATGGGAATCGATATTGAAACTTATGTTTTAATATCGACTTGATGTTCAAACACGATTTATGTACTTTTCGCGACCGACTTCCGCTTTGACCTTGAGATAGAGAGCAAAATATCCGTATGCTTGACTATTACTGAATGTGATATATCTCTGAAGCTAATTAAGATAAAGAAGTGAAACTAACGCGAGGTGTTAGGTTACATTACAGAGTATATCACATATATTTTTTTATAATTTTTAGAATAAAAAATTACATTAAAAAATTAAAAATAAAAAAAAACATGTTTTTTTTCTGAGTTCTCTGTGACTTACAATCACGAAATTAATATATGTTATGCTCCTTTGTGTGCTCTATCACCCATAAAAATTGCGTGAAAAAAAAGTTGGTGCAACACAACGAAAAAAAATTATATGTGATTTCTGTCTTATGGTATACCCCTGTATTATAAGGTTTTCACATAACATCATTGTTTTTTTTTTCGAAATTTCACATCAGCTTGTTTTAAAACATAAGTAACTAGTCTTAAGAGATGGGATAATAGTTAAAAAAGAAATGAAAAAAAAACAGCCAGTGTTCAATACTTATTATTATTACTTTTTCGTGTGTATCAAAATACAAGAAACAAAATATTAATCATCGTCACTGTTGTAATTAATTACAATCGGAACACTTTGAGTCGCAAATAACTTAGTTAGTTAGTAAGATTCCTGGTTATAAAAAAATTATAAAGAATGAAGAAGAAGCTAAAGTGTTTAGTGACTGTTTGAATAAAATCGTAATAGTTAATGATATTTTTTGTAAGAAGTGTCGACTTATCCCATATATTAACAAAAAAGCTTCTACTTCTAAATGTGCAGCATTTAACTTGGCCGAAATAATGGACGATCAAAATAATCTCTCAGTACAATATGTGAAATCAGCACCTAATATCATCAAAGCAGAAGTAAAATCAAGACATATAAATAGAAAAGTCTATCGAATTTACATTCACTATATTTCCGAAGGTAATGACTACAATAGTATTCTTCGTTATTGCTGTGATTGCCCCAATGGCAAACGTACAGTGGGATGCTGGTCTCATGTAGCAGCTATTATTTATTATCTATCATATGGATGATATTTGTCCAAAATCGTACGTCCTGCTGAGGTCCTAACTAATTTATTTGCGACTCAAAGTGTTCCGATTGTAATTAATTACAACAGTGACGATGATTAATATTTTGTTTCTTGTATTTTGATAGACACGAAAAAGTAATAATAATGAGTATTGAACACTGGCTGTTTTTTTTTTCATTTCTTTTTAACTATTATCCCATCTCTTAAGACTAGTTACTTATGTTTTAAAACAAGCTGATGTGAAATTTCGAAAAAAAAAACAATGATGTTATGTGAAAACCTTATAATACAGGGGTATACCATAAGACAGAAATCACATATAATTTTTTTTCGTTGTGTTGCACCAACTTTTTTTTCACGCAATTTTTATGGGTGATAGAGCACACAAAGGAGCATAACATATATTAATTTCGTGATTGTAAGTCACAGAGAACTCAGAAAAAAAAACATGTTTTTTTTTATTTTTAATTTTTTTATGTAATTTTTTATTCTAAAAATTATAAAAAAAATATATGTGATATACTCTGTAATGTAACCTAACACCTCGCGTTAGTTTCACTTCTTTATCTTAATTAGCTTCAGAGATATATCACATTCAGTAATAGTCAAGCATACGGATATTTTGCTCTCTATCTCAAGGTCAAAGCGGAAGTCGGTCGCGAAAAGTACATAAATCGTGTTTGAACATCAAGTCGATATTAAAACATAAGTTTCAATATCGATTCCCATTTGGGGGCCGACTCGTCATACGTATCCGGCTAAACCCTTTAATACGAAATTCCCCACTTTAGATTTTCTAGCTAGTATATACTTAAATAAATTAAGAAATCTATATAATAAAAAATAAATGAATATTATCAAGTGCCAAAATTATAATAACAGGTAAAATTACAAGTAACAAAGTAAAGGAAACATTGTGTGTTAACTTGATGATGACATAATTCACTCGTCCGTGTAGGTAATGGAGCTACCATAAATTAATGTTGTCTATTATGATTAAAACAATATCATACCTTTTTTTATAATCAGGCTACTAGAAATTACAACACTCAAGTTACACACTATGATGAGAGATCCGATGAGGCATTTCAACACTAACCACCGTTCATTGCTATTACGAACATAAGAATGCAATGGATCATGACAAATCTCAGTCACTACACTTTCGTTTGTGCAATTCACACCACTTAATATAAAGAATTCAGCTGATTGGTTAATGTCTGATGTGTTTAAGCCCATTTTTCCACTGATCAATTGTTGCGACCACTGGTAACGAAACTGGTTCCGCAGAGAAGAGACATGTTTATACTGGCGGTTTTTTAAAATGAATGACTATTTTATTACCAAACAAAGCGCACAAGGATGAAAGTATCTTAAGTTTTCTTTGCCATAAAAATATATTCAGGTTCTTCTTGCTAAGCTTTCGAAAAGTATAAAAGTTGTATTGTTTTGTAGTCACTCGTAAAAACAAAAATGTCAGGGTGCAACAGTTAATTACTTTTACCCTTAGATTATTTAGGCTATAAAGCAGGGGCGGCAGTTATGATATATGCTTCATTCAGTATTTTCTTGGGCAGACTTTTAGATTCACAGTTGTATACGAATAAACAATTGTTGAAGGACGCGATTAAACAATTAAAACTTTACAATAGAGGGGATGGAGAAGCAAACATTAATATGCCTGTAAAATTAACAAGTATGGTAGATGTTCTTCCTTCCTCTAGCACACAAGGCGGACAAGGAGATCAGCGACCTTCAACATCAATTCGCTTCACTTGAACATTTAGTTCTCCATCTTTCGACCATCATTAAATCTAACCTCCCGATCAAATTATGCTGCGCCAGTATCATTTCAGACCAAGGAGAAACACACACAAACAACAGCCGAGAAGGACATCACCGAATGAAAAGAAAGGCCACCCAAATGAGCAAAGGCGTCTGATGTGAATGCTGGAAGTACACGGCCGCCACAATTCAACGCCTTCCAGCACAAACGTGAGTTCGAACCATTTATTAAAGGTAATATTGACAAGTGAGAGCTGAAAGAGAGATTAGAACGCTGCCTCTAAGTATGTACCTGTTTAATCTTAAATTGTTTTAATTACAAGTAAACTCATACGCAGTCGAGTGCGTGTGTCGGCGACATCAAAGTGTATTCTAGAAAACAAGAAAGAGTGAGAAGTAATGAGAGAGAGAGAGCGAGTACGCCGGGACGGCACGTATAAGCTTTCAGGGTTGTGGCATATTAATTGAAAACAAATTGTTCAAATATTTGTATGAAAATCTCAATTTACGTGAAATTGTTTTTTGACATATTAATTGTGTTCTTTGTGCTAGGTTGTATGGCCATGTTTCGGGATTATACATGTATTTCCAAACATCCTGTATGTAGATAATATTATTGTGTACGGAAGAACATTTAAGGAATTCTACAAGGCTTTGGACCAAGTTTTATTAAGATTAAAAGAAGTGAATTTAACTCTCAAACCATCAAAATGTAATTTTGATTTAAATAAAGTTTCTGTTTTAGGTCATACTATTTCTGGTTTTGGAATACTTCCAGATGAAAATAAATTACAAAAATGAAAATTTGCAAAAGAATTAAAATCAGTGTTGGGTTTTCTTTCGCCTTATTGAAAATTTGCTTTGTTGACTGTACCATTAAACAAATTTTACGAAAGAATGCTAAATTTGCATGGTCTGAGAGTCAACAAAACGCATTTGACAAATTGTTGATATTTTTGCAGAATCCTCGATTACCGCAACATTTTGACAGTTCTAATGATGTTATAACGAGACTATATGTGATTGGATCATCGCCATCTTTCATTCATTTCATTTTCATTTCACATATAGAAATTAATTTATTCACTTGACATTGGCAGAATTGTGCGAATTGCGCTTACTGGTGATCATTTGCGTCTGAGTAAGACTGGCGAAATTTCGTTCAAGGTATTTTATGCCAAATGCGGAGTCAGAGATAAAACATTACATAAAAACTTATGTGGTGTGTCAAGAAAAGAAGTTATCTCATATAATATCGCCATTACAACCAATATCAGTTGATTTATTATTTGAACTCATAGAGATTGATATTTTAGGACCACTAAACAGATCCATATCAGGTAAAAGGTATATTATTACGTGTGCTGAGGCATTTTCTAAATAGGCCATAAATGTAGGGCTGTCTTTAGAGCATCGGCTCAGTCGTTGTGTAATTTTCTTGTAGAAGAGGTATTTTGTATATTTGGGACGGTTTGTACAATACTGTCAGATAAAAGGTTGACTTTTACTTCAAGGGCAATGAGAGATGCCGTGATTGAAAGGATCCGGCATCCAGCAAGGATAAGCCTTTATGTATCTTCAGTAAAGGCTTTGTACCACCCGCTCACTCGCAAAAAAATGCACATGCACAAGCGACCAACAAATCTCGGCACCACCACTATATACACGTGTTTCGCCCCCCGAAGTTGTTAAACAGTCGTAAACGCGTTGCAACTTTCTAGGATGCGGCTGGGCTGATGTGAGACGATCTTATCAGCACATTTATTTACCTTAAAAAATATGCAATGTAATTTTTTATAAGTACAAAAATAGGCTTCTACCGTCCGAACATATGTTACAGTCTAGTAACACAATCCGTCTTATGATATTAACTAGCTTTTGGCCGCGTCCGCGTGGTATAGTTACTTTGGGCAGCATATATTTTCCAAAAACGCTGTTGTTTTTATAACTTGATGTTCAAGTTCGAAGATACTACAAAAAAAAAAACCAACAAATATCCAATATTTTTTATCACTTTGTCTTTGAAAATTTTAAAGATACAATATTAATCCAGTCCAGTCCAATTTGAAATACAGATGAACAGTTCTGAAGTTTACACAAAACTTAATCGAAAACGCAACATTCTTTGAAAGAAACGTTAGAGCAGATTACTTTAGAATAAACGCCATCTAGCATTGCAAAGCTTAAATTTCTTACTACATTTTATTTTAAAACTCAGTACTCTACTATCAATACTTTAAGATTTAAAATGAAATTGAGAATTTTAACAGATTTGTATGGCATGATGTGTTGTTAACTTTTTGGCAAAATATTATCTATGTCGGCAACCGTTATTCGAAGCTTATAGCTATATGAGATGGCAGTCTGTGGTCCCCGCCTATGATATTTTCCTTTTCTACCTTATAGCTCTTTCTCTTTCTGTGGTTTCTCCTTCCTCCACCTCGGAGGGGGGCGAGCTGTGATGCGAAGTGGAACATATTTAGATTTCATTGGCGTCGAAGTTCCCGCCGAGTAAGTTCAATACATCTACCATTTCACAAAAAAAAAAAAAAAAAATATTTCTTATTGAGGGTAAGCTAAGCGCAATGCTTTGCAATATATATTTTTAAAAAGTTTCACGTTACATCTTATTCAGATTTCTTATAAAATTTATAATTGATTAGTCTTTATTTATGCAAAGGTACTTATATATTGTTTGATTCGTTTTTAACGCAGTTAAGTTAAAATTGATGAGTGTAATAGTTTCACATCTAAACGGAATTTTCCGTTCGATTAAGCATTTACCTTTTTGTTTAAGCGTTTCTGGTGTTGAAATATTGTTTAGATACAAGGGCAACATATAATTGAGAATTATTATGGAGCAATCTGCAAAGCAAAGTGAGTCGAAGTTACCAACTCCTCCGCGGCGGCGTAAAAGCCGGATTCAATCATCTTCGTCAAGTTCATCGAGTTCGAGCAGCAGCAGCTCCTCATCACATTCTTCTTCGTCTAATAGTTACAAACGTAAGCATCGTCGTCATCACCAAAAGAAAAAGGGGGGTAGAAAATCACACGGTTCAAAACGTAAGTTAAATCAACTATTTAAAGAAATGGATAATCTTCGTGAACAGTTAAAATTAGCTAATAGTGGATATATTTCTGATGTAAGTAGGAAACTCTATGATGATTATGCTGTGAGTTCCCCTCAGCCAGAATCCAGTGGTGATTTAAAATTATTTAATTTGAATATTTCAACAAAAGTGAAAGAACCTTCTGTTCCAAAAACATCCGAAATGCAATTAAAACAATTACATGATATACAATTATTTGATAATGAAAATTGGTGCGAATTAAGATACGCAGATACTCAAAAGCTATATAGCCATAGTCCCGGCTTTGTAGATCTAGAACCTAACGACGAGATAAAAGCTTATGATACTCTTCGTCACCTTACCTATGCTGATAGGGCATACGCAGCTCTCACGTTTTGTTTTCTTAAGCAAAGAGAATCATTGCAAAATACACTACGTGATTTACTCTCTTGGACGAGGGACGAGCCGAACATTACTCACGATATGATTTCAGATAAAATAAGCACCCTTTTCTCAGAGAGTGACTATCATAAGGTATCCTCGGACTTTCTTCAGTTGATATGTGGACATCGAGCGGAGGTTATACAAATGCGTCGAGACGGTATCATTAACTTTGTTCGTGATCCTCTTATGAAGGCTACTTTACGTAAAATACCTCCTTCCTGCCGTCACTTGTTCAATGCTGGAGCTTTTAGTACCTTTATGGAAAAAACTGGAGGTATTCGTAAATGTTTTTGGCCGCTGCGGAAGCGGACCACAGACGCAAGATCAACTGTCTCGCAGACAGGTCAAAAAAGTAATAATAGCTGCCCCTCGCAGGGGAATATACAGCGAACTCAGCCCTCGCAGGGCTCACACGGTGGATTTGGCACTCAAGGGCAAGGTCTATTCTCATGCTGTCACTGCCAAAATCCAGGTCCATCCTCGCAGGGTGGATGTTATCATGGAGGCCCCTCGCAGGGGCAGGCTTATTCCAACGTAAACACAGGTAATAAGCATATTTTTAAAGCACGTGCCTCACGACCAAGACGAAGAGAAAATGAGCAGTCAGGTATCAACCGAAAGCGAAACTTTTCTTCATCCAGACACAGAGGCAATAAGCGCCGAAAATATTGACTATCCAGTGCAAATAGCCGGTCGCCTATCTCATTTTTACCACAATTGGCAATCAATGGGGGCATCCAAGTTCCTTTTGAAAATAATTCAAGGGTATCGCATACCCTTCATCAGGAAACCGCCAGTAGCCTATCCCAATCTCAGGTGGCCTTCATTTC